CCTGGATGACTTGTAAGGGGGAACCACTTGTGACTGATGAGATGTCCCGTGTGAGCAATGGGTTGCTTTGGATTCGGCCTTCTCGCTCGCAGCTTTCTTGGAAGAATGAGTGGCAAATGCATGTGAGCGTTGGGGTGAGGAGGCTTTCTCCCTTGATGTGCTTTTCGCCTGGAGCATGTGAAAGGAGTCCTTACAACCTTGAAATATTTCCCCACGTTTTGCACTCAACATTTCTAAGAGTTGCATGTCACCCACGAGTTCTGGGTCTTCTAGATGCTGTTGGATATTGACAAGATGGCTTTCAGAATTCTTCCATTGTTTATAAAGTTCATCCATTTCGTTCACCAACGTGCAGATGCGGCTGTGTGAAAGCTCATTCACAGGCCTGTTGCAGATCTGTTGCAACTTCTCCCAATACCTTTTGTTGTGACGATAATGCTTGTCCCAATCTTTCTTCAGGCTGGACTGCATAACACCAGTGAGCTTCCTGTGCTGTCTGAGGTCATAGGTTCTCTGATGAGCTTCAGCCTCTTTGGAATTTTGGACATCCACTTCTGGGATTGTGTCGAGGTTGGATGAGGGAAGGGTCATCATTCCTGATGAATCATATGCTTCTGCCATGATTGGACAAGACTCCACGGCATCCGATGCTTCAGGCATGTCAAGATTAGCTGGGAGGTTCAACTCTGCTGAGACATTGGAGGTCTCAGCCATGACTGGGAAAGCTCAGGGAATTTTCTGCAAATTTTAGGAGACGTCGCTGCAGTTCGCCTTTTGACCACTGGGGTGTGTTGCAAACTCTAGGAGACGTGGTTGCAGTTAGCCTACTGACCACTGGGGTGCGTTGCAAACTCTGGGAGACGTAATTGCACTTTGCCTTCTGACCACTGGGGTGCGTTGCAAACTCTAGGAGACGTAATTGCAGTTCACCTGTTGACCACTGGGGTGCGTTGCAAACTCTAGGAGACGTGGTTGCAGTTAGCCTTTTGACCACTGGGGTGCTTTGCAAACTGTAGGAGACATGGTTGCAGTTAGCCTACTGACCACTGGGATGCGTTGCAAACTCTAGGAGATGTAATTGCAGTTTGCCTTCTGACCACTGGGGTGCGTTGCAAACTCTAGGAGACGTAATTGCAGTTCACCTGTTGACCACTGGGGTGCGTTGCAAACTCTAGGAGACGTGGTTGCAGTTAGCCTACTGACCACTGGGGTGTGTTGCAAACTCTAGGAGACGTAATTGCAGTTCGTCTGTTGACCACTGGGGTGCATTGCAAACTCTAGGAGACGTGGTTGCAGTTAGCCTACTGACCACTGGGATGCGTTGCAAACTCTAGGAGACGTAATTGCAGTTCACCTGTTGACCACTGGGGTGCGTTGCAAACTCTAGGAGACGTGGTTGCAGTTAGCCTACTGACCACTGGGGTGTGTTGCAAACTCTAGGAGACGTAATTGCAGTTCGCCTGTTGACCACTGGGGTGCATTGCAAACTCTAGGAGACATGGTTGCAGTTAGCCTACTGACCACTGGGATGCGTTGCAAACTCTAGGAGATGTAGTTGCAGTTTGCCTTCTGACCACTGGGGTGCATTGCAAACTCTAGGAGACATGGTTGCAGTTAGCCTACTGACCACTGGGGTGCATTGCAAACTCTAGGAGATGTGGTTGCAGTTTGCCTTTTGACCACTGGGGTGCGTTGCAAACTGTAGGAGACGTGTTTGTAGTTTGCCTTGTGACCACTAGAGTGCGTTGCAAACTCTAGAAGACGTTGTTGCAGTTTGCCTTCTGACCACTGGGGCTGGTTGGTGCAGTACACCTTTGGCCACTAGGGTGCTGTTACCTAACTAATGCTTGGGTTAAACTGGTTTCAGTGTGTTCCTTTGTATAGAACTACAAAGCAACTGTCCTATTTGGAGACCCTAAGAGGCTTTCCTCGACTTGGGTTCCTTTGGGCTTTAGTTGCTTGCCCTGTAAAGGGGATTTAGCTTTCCAGTATTTTATTCAAGCAAGATTCAAAGCAACAGCATGCACCGTGGCTGGATTGTTTCTTTTCAAATGCACATTGAGTGGCCAGGCTGGGAAGCAACTTGTATCATGCAAATTCAATCTTTGGCGAGTCTTTGGCCCCCGCAGAGAGGGCGGAGAGGGTGCGCAATCTGTGAGTCCTCCTGGATACGCAGCTATCCTTGGAGGAACATCTGACGGCTGTAGCCAGGGGGACCTTCTGTCAGGTTCGCCTGATTCGCCAGTTGCGGCCCTTTCTTGATCGGGATTCCCTGTGTACAGTCACTCACGCCCTCGTCACCTTGCACCTGGACTACTGCAACGCTCTCTACATGGGGCTCCTCTTGAGGAGCACCCGGAGGCTCCAATTGGTCCAGAATGTGACCGCACGGGTAATTACGGGAGCCGCCTGGCGCTCCCACATAACACCGCTCCTGTGTGAGATGCACTGGCTCCCAGTGGTCTTCCGGGTGCGCTTCAAGGTGTTGATTACCACCTTTAAAGCGCTCCATGGCATAGGACCTAGTTATCTTCGAGACTGCCTGCTGTTACCGATGACCTCCCACCGATCTGTGCGCTCCCACAGAGAGGGCTTCCTCGGGGTGCCATCAGCCAAACAATGTAGGCTGGAGACCCCCAGGGGGAGGGCCTTTTCTGTGGGGGCACCTACCCTCGGGAATCAGCTGCCCCCAGAGATAAGGAGAATCCAAGACCTCGGTGCCTTCCGCCGTGCCCTTAAAACTTTCTTTTTTCAGCAAGCCGGGCTGACTTAACATATTTTTTAACATATTTTTAATTTTTTAATTGGTTTATCTTAAATTGGGGCCAAATTAATATATATCCTTTTAATTGTTTTTAATGTTTGTATTGTATGTTTTTATCTGGCTGTACACCGCCCTGAGTCCCTCGGGAGAAGCTGCGGTATATAAATTCGAAATAAAATAAAATAAACAAATAAATAAATCTCCAAAGAGCCTAGGTGGCTCAGATTGCTTTTTCGTTTTACTGACGAGGCGAACTTCTCAAGCAACATACGCACAAACTTTGCAAAGGTGATTGAAACAGGGCAATCTTCTTAGCTAGCACACGAACTGTCTTTCTCTTTCTGTCCTTTTATTGCCAAAGGTGATTCAAACATGCAGCCTTGGGCCTCTTTATTGCAGTGCATTCTTCTTAGCTAGCACAAAAACTGTCTTTCTCTTTCTGTCTTTTACCGCTGAGCAGAAAACTTCACTCAGGCAGAGAAGGAAAGCAAGTTTGTCATTTTTGTGGCTACGAAAAGGTATCAATTAGATCCAAACAAAGTCCTTTTATAAGTTGTGCGCAGAGAAGAGATGCATTTTCACTCAAACAGAATGTCCATTAATGCTCCGAAAGAAAGGGAGGGGGTCAGGCAATCTACATCCTTTTACTGTTCTGTTCCCGAGGCATCTGGCTCCACTGGGAACAGGCAGATAAACTCTAGCAAACAGGTTTTCATGCAGATTATATTTATTTGGGAATCCTTGAACACATAAGACTTACAATCATAGTGAGTCCAGGTGAGGTGCATCCGTATTTCATAATGTGTCCCATTTCCTAGTGTAAAAGGATGGTAGTTTGTCCCCCTGTTCAGAAAGCATGTTCTCTCTTCTGAGGTAATTCAACATATGGCCAGGTCCTTTTCTAAAACCCCGGCAGAAAGCCTCGGTGGCCAATCAGACACACAGATATGGTCACATGTCATGGACTACATTTCCCATAATGCAATCTCTCATTACATCTCCCACAATGCAATCTCTTAAAGAGACAGCTCTTAATCCTTAAGGTAACTAACTCACCACAACTCACTATCTCTAACAGCACAGTTAGTATTAGCTAAACGTGTATCTCTTGTTTCGGCAGCTTATTACAAATTTTAAGATTACTTTAATACATAGACAACTGAACTTTCTTCATTTTCATATTGTTGATTCCTCTGGATATTTTGGTAAGTGGAAAAGAGAAGAAAAGAAGAATTAGCAATCCTCAGAGTTTATTTAGAATGCTCAAAGATGTTTTAGATATGCCAATACAACTAGGAAGCTGTAAAACATTTTTAACATTCTTCCACTGATTCTTAAACAATCTAGGACTTGGCTAGGGTTTTTTTTCTACTAAAAAAGCAAAGTTATATTGCTCAGTATTTTTTTCTGCCATAAATCTCTTCTAAAATAACCCAATGTGTGACATTAAAAAAATGGGTCTACCTGAAAACATATGTATCACATCTTAAATCATAACAAACAGACAATATCTAAATGTTGATAATTATTGGTAGAAATATGTTTTGTTATGAGCCCAAGTTACCATTATGTTCTAGAAGTTTTGCTGAACTGTTTCATTTTGGCTGGAGTTCAATATAAATACAATCTGGAATATAAAGGTTGTTCTGGGGGCTTATCAACACAAAATCTAGAAGAATCCCAAGTAATTTTATAGGACAGGTAGATTACTAGTATTTGTGGCCTCATCTTAGTAGGACTAGCATGCTGGCCTGCTTGCTACCAGACCTTCCCTATGCCCTGCTCTACTATCACCATTGTCTATACATGTGCTCTCCAAGAAAGTTCCAGTCTTGCTTTTCCTGCTCTTTACCCTGTTCAAACCATTCCAGCCCAGAACAAATGTATTTAGAATATGAGATCCATTCTTCCCAGAAATAGACCAAAACATTCAAAGCATGTTTTAATTTGGGCATGATGCACCAAAAAAAATCTGTTCCATGCACAGAATGGTTAATTTAGACATGTCTTACACAATGCTTTTAATAATCTCAAATCATTTTACTGTTTGCTTCTCAGTCTACAATGGATTTTGTGTACTCAGCTGTTTCATAAATTGAAAATGATATGCAAGTACATGTCCCCCAAATTACTCTGGACAGTTCAATATTAATGTAATTATAATAATTTTTAGAGCAAACATTCCCATAAGAAGTTGGTCTAACATAAAAAGTGACGCGTCTTTAAGAAAGCTTACTTTTATAATGTTTCCTGGCCTTAAGCCACAAACAGCTTCTTCCTAGGGCTGTGATTAATGCTCGAAGTAAATTAAATTCAATATGGATATTTCTTGAAAGCATGAAAGCCACTACAATAGATGATACTTCAATGTTCCTGCTTTCTGAACAAGCACTTAGCAGTTTATTAAACAAAAGGCCATTCTGAGATACATCCAGAGAGTCTGTAAGAGAAAATTTAGGAATATTTTTCAGCTATGTAGCATACTTTTTCCATCAGTGAAATGATCTAAACTATATAAAATATTTTTCTTATTTTTAGTTTTTATATCAATGCCAAGAACAATTGAGAAACTTATTTTTTCTCCTTCAATATCATACAGAAGATTGTTACATATATTAAGAAGTCAAATAAAAGGGCTATAATAAATCTTATATATATATATATATATACATACATACATACATACATACACACACACACACACCAGTACTAAATCTCCCGGGTCAGTTTGTACCCTTCAATTAGCCAAAATAGTGTATCACAGGGAACAATTTTTGAATCAAGATACCTCAAATAGCCTAATTTAAAGAATGCATTCAAAAGTTGGGACGAATTACTCAAATGCAATTGAAATTTCAAGGATATTCAGACCAATTGTATTGGAAAAGTTGTGGTCACTGCAGAACCACTGCCAGGTCATCATGAATTCTGGTGCTCTCTGGCAGCTACTCACAAAGTCAAACCGTAAGCCAGCAAGAAATTGGAAATCACTCCTGCTCCTACTGTTTTTTTGTGTACCTTGGCCATTGTTTATCAATTTTGATAAGTAAATATTGACAAAGGATGATCATCTGGATCTCAGGCCTTTTCAAAGGACAGGTCCTATGGCAAAGAAGGCACAGAATATCTGAATAAGTAGAGCTATCTATATTAGGAAACCTGATTTATTAGGTGACTGAAAACAAAAATATTTGCTAAGATTTTATTTATACATTCCCAAATCACAGCATCTCTGGGTAATGAAAATTCCAATGATGCAGATTCAAACTAAAAGTCTGTTATTTTAAGTAGTAAGTAACAGGTAACTAACAACTTACCACAAGTATTCTGAAAACCTGGGAGATTTCTTAAGACTTCAAATGTTTCATCATACCGTTGTTTTATCATTAATTCAGATGCTACAGCATATAGCAGATTATGTCGATTTAGGACATCCATTTTTTCACAAGGCCATGCTGCTGTATTTATTATCCATTCTGACCCTATGGGAAGATTAATGCTAATGTTTTAAAATTGTTAGAACATGCAGTAAAAAACAAAATTATAGGACAAATCTCAAGTAATACTAAGTTTTCTAAGTGGCCTTTAGCAGAAATTTAGATTCCTAATATTCTTTGAGCTACATTACATAGTCTGAGGGAGTGTAGTATTATCCTTACAAAAACAGCAAGTCCTTATATTTGATCTTTGGAACAGTTGCTGAAAAATTTCCATAAGCATTACTAAAAGCAACACATCATAGGGCAAGGATACAAAATAAAGGGCATGCCTGAGTATAAATTGTTACGTAATATTTTTGAGGAGCAAGTCCTTCATTGCACAGAATGTATTAGAAACTAGGAAAAACTATTTAATTAAAATAGAACTAAAATAACAGTTCTCCATTAAGTAAAACAAAGGTAGGTGCCAAATTTTAGATGTCTGAAGTTGTGTGCAAAAGTTCAGGAAAGATGTGATATTCAATTTTACACATGTAAAGGTTTTCTCAGCTTTTGTTCATGGAAATATACAATGTCATGAGAGAGGATGGTGTCTAAATGTTTGCATGCACTGTATTTCTTCTTTATTTTGAGACTTACTAAGTAATGAAAAACAATTGAAAAATAAGCCTTTTATCTCTAATACTCCTTCTGAAATTTGTCTTTTAGATTTTAAGTTTTCTAATAAGAATATTTTTAGTAATTATTGTAGCTTCTTTGTAGCTTCTTTTTTTGGCTAAATAGAAGAAATAAAATGCTTTGAATGTAGCATACGCTTTTGTTATGACATTATTCTAAATATATTCCAAAACCAGGAACTAAACATGTCCTTCCAAATATGATTTTTATTTATTTATTTTTAATTATTTATTAAGTTTGTTTGATTGGAAGATGACTCTGGGCGGCTTATCTTAAAATAAAACCATAAATATTATATAAACCTAAATAATATTTTTACACATATATAAATATAGAAAATCACAATAAAAATGCAGGTTTATGTATTTATTACATTTATATGGCAGCCTATCTCACAAGAAGTGACTTTGGGCGGTGTATAACAACAAAAATATAAAAACAAACTCGTCAATATATATAGCACACATGACATTCAATCAGCAACAAAGCCACCTCAAGAACTCATTGGTCCCCTAAGAACCTTAGGCCTGATGACAAAGCCAGATTTTGAAGGACTTCTGGAAAATAAGGAGGATGGAGGGAGAGAATATTCCATAAGGTGGTGCCATGGTAGAGAAGGTCCACTTTCTCAGACTCGTTAAGTGTAGTTCCCTGAAAGACAGGAACCACATTATGTCTTTCTTACTGGATCTGATGAACAGATGGAATCATGGAGAAGCAGTCCTTCAAACAACTTGGCCCCATGCCATGAGGGGCCTTAAAAATCAAAATCAGCACCCTGAATTGGATCCAGAAGCAAACTACGAATATTTATATAAATTTGATCAATAAATCCAATTTTTTAAATTTAAATTTACCTCTCAATACCCATAATGCTCCATCAAGATTCCCACATTTGAGAAAGATTTCTACAGCAACATTAACAACTTGACATCTTGATACCGATTGCTGTGATTCAAGAAGTCCTTTAAGAAGTGTGAAGTGTATCTTTAAAGCATAAAACACATCCAGAACCTTCTTGGCCTAATATAAAAAGGGAGAAAGCAGGAATAAAATTTCAAACAATTTCATGCTTTTTAACATTAGTTTACACCTTTATCTCAGAAACAATAATGATCCTGGCATGTGAAAATAATAGTTTTGAAGTTATCAATGATTCAAATGCCAACTCAACTCTACCACTGGAAATTATTTTTGGTCTATAAATTTATTCAAGATTATGACTGGATATGCCAGAATTGCACCAACATGTTCTGCCCTCCAAAGTGGGGGCATAGAAATAAAGCTGCTATACTAGTGCTTCAGCAATGTTTAATAATTACTGAAACTAACATGGATTCTTAAAAATGGATATTTTCTTTTTCTGTGTAGCGTGCGTTTGGTGCGCACTGTGCATGCACATGTGCTTTTGGTGTGCAATGTGCATGTGTGCACAGCGTGCTCTTAGTGTGCACAGCGCATGCTCAGGCAGCGAACCAGTGGCAATCCGTGGAGGATTTCACCCCTGACTTAAAATTTTTGGAAGATAATTTGCCTTTAACAGACTCTGCTGAAAGTTTTCACCTTTGAAAAAAAGCATGCCCAATCGGCGTTTTGTTTTGGCTGGAAGGAGGGAGAAAAAACAGTTTTGGTTTCTATCACTTTTGATTGGTTTTACAGCAGGCAAAGAGATATAGATTTCTTTTACTGCAGTGGTGCTGTTTGTCCACACAAGGGAGCCAAATAGGTAGAATTAGAACTGTGATTTCCTTTTTAACTTTTAAGTGGCACAATTTAATGCTATTAATTATGGTGACCCGTAAGAGAACAGAGAAGATACCAGGAGATGTAGAATTTTTAAAATCTTTTTTGGACGAATATACAGCCAAAACTCATAAAGTCATCCAGGCATTGGGAATTAAGCTTGAATTAAAAATTGACACATTGGCAAAGGAAGTTCGTGAGGAGATACAAGGTTTGAAAGGAGATATTAAACAGATGAAGGACAGAGTGGATCTTATGGAACATAAATTGGAGAAGTAAGACACTCTTTTTGAAGCTGAATTTGATGAGAGAGCTCTCTTGGAAGCTCAAGCAAAGGAGCTGCAATTAAGATTTAGAGCAATCCCTGAACACTCTGGAGAGGATATTTGGCTAAGAATGATTAAAACCTTGGCAGTTGATTAATTGTGAGGAAAAGTTTCTCGAACTTGAAATTGACAAGGTTTATAGAGTAAACTCAAGATTTGCTGCCATGAGAAAACTATTAAGGGATGTCTTAGTCCATTTTGTAAGAAAAATAACGAGAGACCATGTTCTGGATTGCCACTTTACATCTAAACTAAGAATGGAAAATGTAGACTTCCGGTTTCCTTGTCTTCGGCGACGGCGGCGCCCTTTGAAGCTCCGCCAGCCCCGCCGCCTGTAGAGCCGCTTCGCGATCGAGAAGCGGCTCGAAAACTTCAAAATCCTGAGGATTGTTGGAGGAGAGATAGCAGGGCACAGGTTGAGCCCCTGTAACCCCCCAGGGAATCGTTTCTGGGGAGGAAACAGGCGCGGCTCCCTTCCAACCTGCTGAGACTCCGGGCGGCGTGGGACGATTCTGCTTCTGCAGAACAAGCCGGCTGCAGGAAACTTAAAGCGAAAGAACTAGCTTTAATAAACAGCGAAACTACCTGAATCCTGAAATTTGGAAACGCAAGTATTAGCACTTTGTTGACTTTTCAATCTGAGAAAATGCAAATGAGTGAAAGTGCTTTGAAAAAACATGGCGCCTAGCTTCAGAGTTAACGAGCCAGCGAGTGTGGATTGGTGAAGTTACTTGGTTTTGCTACAAAGTTTCCAAGTTGCTACTAAGCTGCCTCGCTTGTTATAAGAGAAATAACTGGGAAATTTTTTCCCTTTTCAATATTGGACTTTGCTTTATTTTAACCCTTGTTTGATCAAATCTGGGGGACTTTTTTAGAAGTCTTTGTGCAGGAGGGAAAGGAAAAGGAACCTCCCTCTTTAGAAAAACTAGATCACGAGCCAGGATGGCTTCAAAGAAGCAGGAAGGGAAGGCATTAGGGGGGGGATCCCCCACACACAAACAGCAAACGCAACTTCCCCCTGCTCAACAGCTACAAACTCAGAAAAAAGAATTTGATGTGGGAGATTTAAAAGAATTTATTTCTAAAACTCTGGATGACAAATTTCAAAAATGTCAACAGGAGATAGATGATAAACTTCAAAAATCACACCAGGAATTTATGCAGGAAATTAATGAAGTTAAAGACATGGTGAAACAGAATCAAAATAAGGTGACCAAAAAAATATCAGAAGTGGCGTCTGGCCTGGCAGAATTTATTGGGAAAGTTGATTTTAAAGTTGAAGAATTCAAATCAGAAGTTAATGTTAAGATGAAAGACAATGATTATAAAATTGATGAAGTTGACAATAAAATGCAGAGAATTGAAGATGAGATTGTTATGATACAATTCCGGGCGATGGAATTTGCCATACGGCTTCGGGGAATTCGAGAGGAGGAGAGACAGGATTTGAGACAGGTTTGCTCTGAAGCCTTGGCTAAGATTTTACAAGCTAATCCTGATTTGGTATTTCATAAAATAGATAAAATTTACAGAGTGAACTCTTGGGTGGCCAGACAAAGACAATTGCCTAGAGATGTGGTCATATACTTTACTGAGAGAGAAATTAGAAATGATATCCTGCAAAAATCTTTTCACACTTCTGTACAAGTGGGGGGCTCACGACTTGAAATTTTTAAAGAATTACCTCCTAAAATGCTGAAAGCTAGAAAAGAATTTGGTTTTCTTGTTAAGGAATTGAGAAATTTACAGATACCCTTCCGGTGGGACGCACCAGCTGGGATAATTTTTAGATATAAGGGAGAAGGATATCGGTTGAATACCGTGGAGAAGGCACAACACTTTTACAGTACTATTCTTAAGGAAAGAACACCATCTCCACGTACATCTACAGTTTTGGAGATTAAGGAGAGTGAAGAGAGGCAATTGAAAGAACAGTCTAAGCAGGAATTAGAAAATGTGCAAGGTGCAGAAGGAGGTTTTCTGAGTGAGCCCTTGTTGGATTCTTCTCCAATTTTGGATTTGATTCAGTTGACAGAAGTTAAAGATCAACGTATAACTAGAGCCCAATCCAAGCTACTTAAACAAAAGCAACAACAACAACAGGAAAGACAAGACAAGAAGGCAGTTAAGAGTACCGTACAAGAGAGTGGAGCTATGGGAGGAGCGAGATCGAAGCTCTCGGATGAACTTCAAATATTTTGCTCTGTGCTCCAGAAAGAGGCTGATGATCTTTAAGTGTCTATCTTGGAATGTTAATGGGTTGAATTCAGCACAGAAAAGGAAGAAATTATTTACATATTTGAAACAATTTAATAATGATATAATATGTTTACAAGAAACGCATATCACAACTCAAGATCAAAAATATTTGATAAATTCAAAACTAGGAGCACATTATATATCTTCAACTTCGCAGAAAAAGAATGGTGTGGTTATTTATGTAAATAAAAAATTAACAGCGAAAGTTATAGAAGCAGATCAAGATGGTAGGTTTGTAGCAATTGAATTGCTCACAGCAAATGGTCAAATTCTTTTGATTGGAATTTATGCTCCCAACCAACAACAGGATTATTTTTATAAGATGTTACATACTAAAATATTGCAATGGGACTATAGATCTATTTTAATTATGGGAGACTGGAATGGAGTAATTGATTCTAAACTAGATAAAAAGAGCTTGGCAAAGTCTAGAATTAGACTACCACAGACTTTTTTTGATATGAAAGAAGATATGGAATTAAAAGATGTTTGGAGAATACATAATCCAAATGAATTGGACTACACTTTTTTTTCGGATAGACATAGATCTTTTTCTAGGATTGATTTTATCCTGTTGTCAAATGACCTACTTGTTAAGACAAAAAGAACAAAGATTTTTCCAAGAACTCTGACTGACCATAGCCCTGTATGGATAGAAATTGAGATGGATAAGGTTGAGAGACGTTCTTGGAGATTAAATGAGAACTTGTTTAGATATGAAAAAAATACAATAGAACTTAAAAAGCACTTGAAAGAATTTTTTGAAATAAATTTGAATAAAAGTACCCCAATTGAAATTGTTTGGGATGCAAGTAAAGCTTATATGAGAGGGGTACTCATCTACATGAATTCTAAACATAGACTGTTCCGACAAAAGAAAAGATTTGAGTTGGAAATGGAAATAAAGAATAAAGAACAGTTACTTATTAAAAACCCAACAGATGAAAGAATACGAAGTGCTATAACACTTTTGAAAGACCAATTTCAAATGCTTATGGCGGAACAAGTTGCAACAAGTTTACAATATGCGAAGCATAATACATTTTGCAACGCTAACAAACCGGGCAGATGGTTGGCTTACACATTGAGGAAAAAACAAAGTATACGGACTATTGATAGTATTGATATTGGAGGGAAAGAAATCTTTCAACAAAAACTAATTAAAGAAGCTTTTGTGGATTATTATACTAAACTATATGCCAAAGAAGAGGTGCAGAATGGACTTATAGAAAAATATTTAAAGGATAAGAGAGTTACAAAAATTACTGATCAACAAAAGGAAAGAATGAATTATCCTATAACAGAGGAGGAGATAACAGCAGCAATTAAACAGCTAAAAACAGCCAAAGCTCCTGGCACGGATGGTTTGACCGCAGTGTATTACAAAACTTTACAAGCTGAAATGGTGGGACAACTTAGAGATTTATTTTGCAATATTCAACAAGGGGGCAAAATACCCCCATCTTGGACAACTGCTTATATATCTTTGATACCAAAAGAACAAGTTGGTCCTAAAAAACCAGAGAACTATAGACCAATATCTCTTTTGAACACAGACTATAAAATTTATGCGAAGGTATTAGCCAACAGGTTGATGCCAGTAATCCAAAAGGTGATTCATGCGGACCAAGCGGGATTTATTGAGGGCAGATATATGAAGGACAATGTAAGGCAAGTAATAGACTTATTGGAATA